GAGGAGGGGAGGGGAGGGAAAGGAGGAGGAGAGGGGAAGGGGAGGGAAAGGAGGAGGGCAGGGCACGGATTTGTTTAGGCTAACCGAACCGAACCTACAGAGGTCATACAAGGCCACGAGGCAGTGTATACTAGCTAAACATGATGATGGTGCTACAAAAATGGCTAAGATTTAGAATCCCCGATCGGTAGTGACGCAAATCTGTGGCACACAATGGAAATCCATAATCCACTGCGGCTTTTTTTCCGTCAACGAATGGCTTCTTTTGGACAGCGATCGTAGATTCTAAATCCGTCCCCTAGCTACCTACATATACAGGATCACACACCTCTGGCTTGCCGCACCCGGTTCCTTTGCTTTTGGATGCACCGCCATACTTGCATCTGCTTTGTTACTTGCCCTTCTCTAATTCAAATGCGCTTTATGAACGGTTCTGGCATCCCTTAGTGTAAACACGAACAAATGCGCCTTCTGAAACTCTTCAAGCTTCATTAGGAAATCTTCAAATGTGTGCTAATGCATTTTCTTGTTGCTCGGGCGAACTACCACCATCGGAACCGCAGCCTTGTTCAGGTTTTCTTCGGAAGTACTCGGCCGCGTTCGACGACCTCATCGCAATTCGAGGAAGTGTTCCGGTTGTCCGTCCGTGCAGAGGTTTTCTGCAGATAGAGAAACGGATGCGCTTCCATATGGTATTTTCGGGCTAAGCGGCACGGAATTTTTCCGTTTCTATAACCACTTCTCTCTCTCTCTCTCTCTCTCTCTCTCTCTCTCTCTCTCTCTATATATATATATATATATATATATATTATAATATATATATATATATATATATATATATGTGTGTGTGTGTGTGTGTGTGTGTGTGTGTGATTGTGTATGTAAGTATGTATATATGTATATATTGATAGATATAGATAGATGCCCACGTCATTATTACATACCGTTATGCCAATACGGACATGATCAATTCCATAAATTATACATTAGTGTTTGTATGATATTTTTTTCTTCAAACAAGCAAAAATGAAAATTAACTGATATTGAATGAGAGTAGTTTCACAGGTAGAGGAATGACGGTTGCCTAGGTAGAGTTATGACAACATATTCAGTGCGGTACACTGCATAAGGTGAACAAGGCAAATGTAACACCGGTAGTATATGCACCACAGGTTGGCTGAAAAAATATCTGTGTATGATATTTAATGTGCATTTGTTATCCGTAAGGGATATGCATTCTTTATCGAAGTTGTCATCAAATATAGGATTTTTTTCTCACTCCAATTCCTCTTTGGTCCCGGTTTGGGATATCAGAAGAGACAGAATTATATGTCATGGATATGATTAATAGAGGTACAGAGATTTAACACAAACTGGTATGAATGATAATGAATAGCTTCACAGTGCAAGAGTTGTCTTTGACCGGTGTCGATGTCTTTGTCAGAAATATATGAATTCCATAGGAAGATATGAGTGTAAGCGGTCAAATACATATCTTGCGCCGTAAAGATATTCATGATCATTCACTCCAGTTCTCGTTGGTTCATTCCTATTCTACTCGCGTTACAAGTGCATGGAAAAGCGATATTTTAGATGCTAAACAGCGGTGAGTTAGAGACTTCTTTTTTGTGCTACTGGATTAGATGAAACGTAGTTTGAAGCAGCGTTGATAAAGGAAATGATGTTAGATAAAAATACTTGCACTTAGAATTTGCAAACCCAGCAGAACATGAACGAACTGGATTGTAGTGTATCGATGACGGTTAAATGTAAATATAATCCCACACGACCTTTTTTGCGTATTGAATTTTAATACATTTATTATGACTTTCCATGTGCTAGCAATTATAGGTTTATCTCTATGTAAGTTTGTTTTATCTTTATATTTTACATTTACCATTAATAGCTCAGCAAGTAATCGCTCTAGGTCATAATCCTCCCCTCTTTCCACGGATTTATATGGGACATTGGCTGATGGCGTTGCTTAGTTAAATCTAGTTTAGGTTCCCGATCGACCCGTGTTGCCATTTAGATCGCTATTTATTTACTAGTTGAATGAATTATAAACTCGCTAACAAATGAAGATTGCCCATGTGGCGCTACCTGTAGGAGGGAAGGGAACTACAGAGAAAACACGGCTGAAGTTGCTGAGCCACAGGGAAGACTTGACTATTAATGCGATGCAACGCGGTACGACGCTTGCCTTACACTAGTATGCGGTAGCGATGCAAAGAGCATGGTGTGGTGTGTACCTCACAGCCTCCTTGCCTTTAGTGGACACGGCCATGCCTTAATTTCATTCATTCAAATAACAACAATACTAACGATAGTAGTAGTGACAACAGTAATTGTAACAGAATAATAGCGGTAGGAGTTGTAACAGCTCCAGCAGCAGTAATAGTACTAGTAGTGGTGGTGGGGGTGGTGGTAGCAGCAGCAGCAGCCTCAACAGTAGTAGAAGCAGCAGGGTGAACGTGATTTTAAAATGGGCGCGACTCTTCCCACCTGTGTGTATGCCTCTGGCCGTCGGTGTGCATAGGAATACATGCGGGCACCTGTGTGTGTATTCAACACCAATGAGCGTAGATATGAGTGCCTGTGTGAGCACAAGTAAATGTCTATGCACCTTACCACCTGTTTGTGTACAACTAAGTGCTTGTTTACGTTTGTATATGTGTTTATAGATATAGAGGGACATCGATATACAGAATTGTCTAATGCGACACCGATATATCGACACTGAAAATTTGTCTGAAGAGATTCCGATAGATCTATTCTTCGTAGACAATGAAAGTGATGCCAATATCAATACATGACAGACGGACAGAGAGAGACAGCGAGAGATAGATAGATAAATAGAGACAGATAGACAAACGCAGACAGAGAGTCAGAGAGAGACAAGCAGACAGACAGATAGACAAACAGAGTCACAAAGAGAGACAGACCGACGAAAGGCCACAGAAATGAAAGAGAGAGAGTCACACAGAGAAGAGACAAGGAGAGAGATGGATAGGTAGCTAGACAGAGAAAGAAAGAAAATAACGAGGTGTGTCATTTTGCTATTAATAAGTTGACTTTCAAATCTTTAATGCACGTGCATGGATATCGTTTCTTCGATATATTTTCAGAAAAAATGTGTTCCCGATAAAACGATTATGGAAAAGCTAAAGACACGCTGATACCAGTATAAAAGTATCGATCGATATGCAGCTCCAAAGCATGTATCGCAATACTGCCCATCTTTGTTTTATCTATATCTATATATATCGATATATATCGTATCTATCTATCTATACATACACACAAACATTCACACATACACACACACATATATATGTGTGTGTGTGAGTGTGTGTGTGTGTGTGTGTGTGTGTGTGTGTGTTGTGTGTGTGTGTGTGTAATATATATATATATATATATATATATATATATATATATATATATATATATATATATATGTGTGTGTGTGTGTGTGTGTGTGTGTGTGTGTGTGTGTGTGTGTGTGTGTGTGTGTGTGTCGAGATCGTTATTTATTCGACATTTAAAAAGGTGCATTGGTTTTAATTGTAATGATGCATGGAATCTACTGAAAAGTTTGTGCTCATATTTTTATATTTTTAAAGGCATATAGAGATAGCAAAATTTAGTGTTATAACAATTAGAGTAAAATTTGATAATCATTTATAAATGGTTTGTTTGCTTAAATGTTACCAATGCATTTAGGGGAAAATCAAAAAGTTCTTATTTAGGCAACTTCACATAAGACAAGTGTTGACTTACTCGTACTCAGGTATGTCAGTGTTGGTATAAAAAGTCGAGTTTTACCCTGACATCATCTATTGTAAGGCTTGATAAATGGATTAAAGTAATTGTTGAATACCTGTGTATTGAATTGTGATAATTTAGACGAGTCATAGCTTCTGTCCCACACACACACACACACAGAAAAAAGGCTGAGAAATTTTGGCGAAAACAACACAAACAACACGCCATGGCGCTTTGTTTCCAAGGAATCTTTTAGTTATTTATTTTTAGCCCGTGGACACATCAATGGAATTATTCAAAGGGGCCACTTCCGGCGACATCAATGAATAGATTGAGAGTGGAATAATTTATTAAGGCAAAGTGTAAGTGGGGAAAATATGAAGATTAAAAAGAAAGGGGGAACGATTACTTCATGGAAAGATTCTGATAGAAAGGGCGAGTCTCGATTCTGTCTCACATCGTTTTTTTTTTTTTTTTTTTGTTTATGTAAATGCTTATTGATTTATAATTAGGAAAAGAGTTAACCTTAGATTTAAATTACGGTAGTAGAGAATATTGCCTGTTTATATCAGAATAATTATTGCTAAGATTTGCATGATGATATGACACCTGTCCATTATCATTTGCGTATAGAATAAAATGCTAATAGTTATCAATGTTTCTATGTCCATTGTATATTTAGCAGCCCGCGCCTGAAGACCAGTGGCGGCACTGCCAGGGCGTCATAAGGGTAATGTGTCATGGTCATCTCGTAGGAGGGAAATATTGAAACTATTGTGTACCAATGAGCATTTTGACAAATTTCCTGACATAAAAATCCAATAAATTTAATAATAATATATTTTAATGATTAGTGAAAGGAAAATCCTAATGTGACTATATATATATATATATATATATATATATATATAATATAGTATATAATATATATATATACATATATTAATATATATATATATATAATATATTATATATATATATAATATATATATATATATATATGTAATATACATATATAAATATATATATGTATATATATTATATATGTGCGTATAGGTTTATATACACATTTTATATGTATGTGTATACACATACATATACATACATACATATTTATTCATACATATACATATTCATATATACACACGACATATATACATACATATGCATCTATATGCACACACACAAAAAGTAATATGGATAAAAAGTCGTTTGAGGTAAATTATACAATTTTTTTTTAGATTTCTTATATTCAGAATATTTTATAATATAGACTTTCATTTACGTTCAAAAAAATTAAATAACAATCAGTAGTATTAACAGACTTTATAAACATTAACAACAATTATCACAGATGTAGATCTCTCGAGTCTTTTCAGTTGTCTTTACACTAATTACAATAATCAGGTACATAGATTTGGCAGCATTCGCTTCCTATAACAATATATACAAAGCAAGTAATATTTTTTTTTATTACAGGTAAGCATTAGGGAGTATGTATGTAATTTATGGATATCGATGAAAAATATGAGTGATTGATTGAGTGCGTTCGTATCCGTGAATAGTGAATGAGTGTTCGTATCCGTGTGAGTGGTGATCGAGTGTTTTCGTATCCGTGTGAGTGGTTATGAGTAATTAAAGCAAACATCGCTCAAAGAATCTTTTAGAGAATATTTCGGATCGCAACACTTCGGCGTTGAAATCCCTCGTTCCTCCTGCGGCGATTAAAAGTACTCCCATCATGGAGCGCCGTCTTCGAGAGGCATGTGACTTGCTCCGCCGCGCCCGTAGAACAGGGCTGATGTGCTGATGCCTGGCTGTCACGCCGGGTTCACTAGGATTCTGCCACGGAACTTCTGAACGTCCCTCAATAGCCCTCGCGTTGAAGCTCCTTCAGGAACTTGAGGGCCTTCGGGCCACACTTGTACACCAGCTGTCTCTCGGGGACGGGTTTCAGAGCACCGGTCGTGTACTGGTACCTGAAGAAGACAAAGGTAAGTGTTAATTCAACGTTTGGACGAATTCCACATACGTGTACAATTGCAGAATACGCTTTGTGCTTGCGAGACGAAATTCAACGTCCGCCCGGATGCCTACCTCAGTCCACGAGCAAAGTTGTCGTAGGATAGATTGGGTTTGTTCGCTCGCTGTCCCCACATTTGGGCGATGATGACAGGCTTGACGAGTCTGAAGGTCTTCTCGGTCTGGTCTTCCCACCGGATGAGTTCTGGGTTGTACTTCTTATCCACGAGCAGACGAATCATGAACTCCCAGTTCTTTGGACCGCGTTCTGAAGGGAAGTGAAATAATATTTAGAGAGGGAGAAAAGGAATAATTTACACGCCTTGCTTTGTTGCCATAATAAATGCAATCTATCAACGGGCATGTGAACAGCGGTGTGCAACTGCCGTAGAGTTCTTACCCCTCTTCCTCGACTTGGTGCGGATCTTGCCGAGAACATCGGCGCTGGGGACGCGACAGGGCTCCGGGGAGGGACACGGGATGTCGATGCTTCCGTCGTCGGAGAACTCGCTGCAACTTTCCTCTGCAACGATAACATTTTCAGTTAATTGCAATTCTTGTTAAAGGACTAAAGATTGTCATATAGTAAATGTGTGTGTGTGCATATTCAGTGGGCGCAGATACGAAGTGAAGCAAAACGTATATGCAAATGGTCACGAGAATGCCTAACCCACCTGATTTAATAATGCTGCATTCCTCAATGCCATACGAGGAGTCACAGTATTCCTTGCGGTCGCTGTCGAACATGGAGTCCCACGATGAGGCAGGATGGTCTATGTACTGAATAATGTCTGTGAGGTCTTCATCCGGTTCCAAGGGCGACAGGTCACACAGGTCGGAGTTCCCCTCAGAAAAGAGAGTGTTCTCTTCTGTAACAAACGCGTCGCTGGTTTCAGGAGTGAAACCGGCTGATGCTGAAAATAAGAAGTAAAAAATAGTCACACTCGGATCTATTCGAGACAGGTTTGAGCCAAAGTGTTCTCTTCAGCGTTTCGCAAACTAAATCGAAATATGTGTTGCGTCCGACTCAGGTGCCTTACCTAGTCCCCGCGTCTCCAGCAGCCTCTGAAACTCCTCGTAGAAGGTGGGCCCATACACGGTGTCAAAGCGGCAGAAGTCATACGCGGAGAAGGTCATGAGTTCACTTCCAGAGATCTGTCTGAACGCCATCAGATTTACGATGTTCTGATCGATTCCATGAACGCGACATACGTCAATTGCCCAGTCGAGGCAGTCCTGCAAACGAGACGCACACTTTTAAGAGGCTGTCGGCAGATTCAGCAAGATGATTTTAAAGAATTGGGTTTAAAAAGATCTACACCGAGAAATAAGATTGTGGTATGATATATTATACATTTGATAAATATACAAGGATACATTTCGTTGATTTGTTTGGTAGAACTGATATATTCCCTAATTAAAATGTGTTCAATATATCAATTGCACTGTAGTTTTTTTATTATTGAAAAAAATACTTCAACTTGTCTTACCTCCCCGCGCCAACGTGCAATATCTAGCTGCTTGAAGACTTCCATATCGCTGAAGATTCCTCCTTCCATTTCACTAGGAATGCCGAAAGTGTAATAATCCACAGAGTCAAGATTGGTGAGGGAGGAGCTCAGATTGTCGGTACATTCAATGAAACTGTCCTGGTATACAATGGTGTCAGTGACGTTGATGTAGCTAAAATCCATTTCTGTATGTTTCTTCTGAGTCGACAAAAAATTAACGTTGTCTTAACTCCCTCTGATGAGCCAGAGGGTCTCTAAGTGAAAAGTGTATAGCTGCACTTATCTTCCTTGCGAGCCAAGAGTGGTACTGAGCGAGACTGGGAAGCTCGGCCTTATTTATATCCCGTCGCTGACCGTGTTCCCACGGTGGCTCGCTATTGGTCGGTGCCCAAAACGTTTCAGCCCGGCCCACCAATCACCTCGGAGCTATAATGATAATGTCCAGCTGGCGACTTTTCTGAAAAGATTCTTTGTCTAGTGCTAAATATCTAACGTTGTTTGTGTCTTCGTTGTTTCTCTGTCGACAGTTTGTTTGAGAAAATTGACAAAATATGATAACGTTGCTAGTTTATGCATTTAGTAGAGGATCAGTTTATCAATGGAAATACAAACATCGAGATATACACTGATTTGAAGAAACATTGTGAACCAATAACGGACAGTAGCTGTTTGTTTACATCGACATGAAAAACATCACAGAGGGATGAGAGAAAAACATGTTTAAAAATCGATTGAAGAAAAAGTGCACTATACAGCGGCAAGTTAGTGTGAAAGTCAGTGTGTATTAGAGACTGCATATGGATATACCTTATTTATTGTTTGCGTGCGATTGTATGTGTTTGTTTGTGTGTATGTTTACGCCTGTGTTTGGGTGTGTGCGCGTATGTGTGTGTGTGTGTGTGTGTGTGTAAGAAGCGTATAAAATATGAATAAAAAGCACATATAAAACGAGGATTGTAAATCTGTAGAGGAGTTATTGGTCACAAATACTACAATTGATTTTTTTTATGATTTATACGAAATTGATTTATATCACATGATTCCTGTAGGTGATCTGTTTTCACGTGTTGTATTGTATTTTTTATTCTTTATGTGTATTCTATTATTCTATAATATATGTACACACACACACATATATATATCATTATATCTGCAGACCTTGTAAACGCGAGTATAACATTTTCTCGCGAAGCAATTTTTTTTCTTTGGTTTAATAAGGACGAAGGATTTTTCTATTGGCTTTATTATAGATTTACATGATGACATTGGTGATAGATATGAAATATCAATGACGAAGATGCGTGTGAATGTGTGTGCGTGTGTATATGCATATATACATGTGTGTGTGTGTGTGTATATATAATATATATATATATATATATATATATATATGTTGTATGTATGTATATATATATATATATATATATATATATATATATATATATATATATATATATATATATATATATATATATATATAGATGGATGTAATGAGATGGAGTAAGTGAGAATAGAATGACGTTTATTTTAGGTGAAGGTCGATTATGTTTTCATATTCAACGTTTTTATTTTTATTTCCATTTCTTAAGGTCTTCATGAATTCGCTTGCTGCAATTCCCTCCAGAACTGAAGGGCTTTCGGGCCACACTTGTACACCAGCTGTCTCTCGGGGACGGGTTTCAGAGCTCCGGTCGTGTACTGGTACCTGAGGGAGTATTGCTCTTATGAGAAACGGGAGATATATAACACATAGATCACCACATAGAAGGATGAAGAGTGTGGAATTCATGATGAACAGATTGCAACAGGAAGAACGAAGGGAAGGATATTGGCATATTCGTGTGTTTTCTTGTCCTTCCCTTCGTTGTTCCTGTTGCAAGGACGAAGAACATGTTGATCTGCCACATGGACCAAGGAGCTCACCTCAGCCCTCGAGCGAAGTTGTCGTAGGAGAGGCTGCGCTTGTTCGCTCGCTGGCCCCACATTTGGGCGATGGCGTCGGGCTTGACGAGTCGGAAGGTCTTCTGGGCTTCGTCTTCCCACCGGATGAGTTCTGGGTTGTACCTCTTGTCCATCAGGAGACGAATCATGAACTCCCAGTTCTTTGGACCGCGTTCTGGAAGGTAGAACTTGTGGTGAGACAAGTAAGATACGTAAAGACTGTGACTGTTAGCATTGCCAGACTTTTTTTTCATTCTGATGTACGTCGATGGCGTGGGAGAGCTTAACTGCAGCTTTACTCCTTTCCAGTGGTTATGATGTTACGTAGCAAAGTTTAGGCATCAATGAAAATACAATTGAGCAGAAGAAGCGATCGCCTAGTTCCTTGTGCCTGACGAAAATTAGCGTGAAGGGCTTGTTTTTGCTTAGTCCTTTGTTTTTTTCTGGTTGGACGAACCAGCCACGTCAAGTCACTCTAGCCAACCCGAGACTCCAGTGAAACGAGGCGTGCGAGTTCCGTAGAGTACGTACCCTTCTTCCTGGATTTGGTGCTGATCTTCCCGAGGGCGTTGCAGGGGGGCTCCGGGGAAGGGCTGGGCGGGCTGTCGAGACCTCTGTCGTCGTAGAACTCGGAGATGAATGGTTCCTCTGGAAGAGTGGATATGATCGTATGTCAAGAGACGGCGAAAGGGAACTGGTGACAGTCATGGTAATCCTAGTCAGCAAAATAAGAAAAAAAACAAGAATAATGAATATTGGACGACCTCTCTCCCCCCCACACAAAAGAGAGCTGATGTTCTTATACAGAATATCGAATTCTTATAAAACTTACCTTTCTTCATCGCTGTACTCGCTCCCTCGCTTTCTGTGGCTTCGTAAAAATTTATCTGATCCTCTTCCCAAGACATGCTGTCAGAGATAGGGATCGAACTGTCTATCAACTTCAGCAATTCCTCCATGTCTTGGTTCGTGTCTGCAGGTAATATATGGCACCATTCGTCGTCCTCGGGAAACAGTAGAGGTTCACTAAGAGCACTGGCTTGCGTGTCCTCTGACGACCATCCGAAATCGCTGTCAACGATACCTGCGAGTCATTGTGGCGTGAGGTCAACAGTTTGTCGATGCTCTCGCTCTCTCTCTCTCTCTCTCTCCTCTCTCTCTCTCTCTCTCTCTCTCTCTCTCTCTCTCTCTCTCTCTCTCTCTCTCTCTCTCTTTTTTATTTCTTCCTTTCTCTCTCTCTCTCGCATTTCTCTACCTTTTCTCTCTCTTCCCTCTTTCAATCTCTCCTCTTTTTCTAATTCCCCTTTCCCCTCTTTATTTCCCTCTCCTCTGTCCCCCCCTCCCCTCTCTCTCTCCCTCTCCTCTCTCTCTCTCTCTCTCTCTCTCTCTCTCTCTCTCTCTCTTCTCTCTCTCCTCTCTCTCTCTTTCTCTCTCTCTCTCCTTTCTCTCTCTCCCCTCTTTCTCTCTCTCCCTCTTTTTCTCGCCTCTTGTCTCTTTCTCTCCCCTCCTTCTCTCTCTCTTTTCTCTCCCTCTTCCTCTCTCTCTTCCCCTTTCTCTCTCTCTCCACTTTCTCTTCTCCTCGCTTTCTCTCTCTCTCTTCTCTCTCGCTCGCCTCTTTCTTTCTCCCCTCTTTCTCTCTCTCTTCCCCTCTTCTCTTCTCTCCACTTTCTCTCTTTCCTCGCTTTCTCTCTCGCTCTCTGCTCTCTCTCTCTCTCTTTCTCTTCATTCTTTCTTTCTTTCTTCGTTCCATCTTCTCTCTCTCTCTCTCTCTCTGCTCTCTC